CTCCTCCTCCTCGTCCTCGTCCTCCTCCTCCTCCTCCTCCTCCTCCTCCTCCTCCTCCTCCTCCTCCGCCTTCTCCAGGGGGGCGTGCACGCTGTGATTGGGCCCAGGATAGACCCTGGCCAGGCACAGCGGTAGTGCAGAGGTGCGCAGCGGCAGAAAAGCAGAGAACGGCACCGACATAAATGTTCGGAGGTCCGCTCAGATTGCTTGGGTTGGCGCTGGGGCCTCCTCCCCGCGCCCCTTCCCTGGCGCGCGGTGCGCGCCGGTGGCAGCGCCGGAGGCACTGCCAGGGGCGCCGGGGTCAGCGCCGACCCACAGGGTCTTCGCGGCGCTCCGAAAGTTTCGTGCCCGTGCGGTTTTTGGTGGGGGCTCGTGGACGGGGGGGGGGGTATCCTACAGTGCCGGTTTTAATACATGCTCCGCGTGCGGATCACGTATTACAAATGCAGGGATTTAGTATTAACAACAACGATGAGTTCGTGCATGAATTTACTCATGCATTGATCACGTATTAAAAATCCTATATGAACAAGAATCAATGTATTAAAAACTGCCCTGTATTGTGGGGTCGAGGAACGAAGCCAGCTGGGTGCCCGCATGTCCCTCCAGGGGCCGTCATGGGCCGTGTTCCTCGAGCCCCAGCCTCTAGAGCCCTAGCCCGCCTTCCAGGATTCACTTCGACTCGAGTCGATCCGATTCGACGTCGATTGCGACTGGCTCGATCCAATTCGATTCCAAGGAGGAGGAGGAGGAGGAGGAGGAGGAGGAGGAGGAGGAGGAGGAGGAGGAGGGGGAGGAGGAGGAGAGGAGGAGGGGGAGGAGGAGGAGGAGGAGGAGGAGGAGGAGGAGGAGGAGGAGGGGGAGGAGGGGGAGCTCCTGCTGCGGTCGCGCCGCTTTTCGAGCGCGGGCGCGCATTGACCCCTGGATCCCTCCCAGTGTCCAACCTAGCCAATTTTTCGAGCCACGTGCAGCCGTGGCGACGATAACGTTCAGGAGCGCCCAACGCTTTCGCCGTCGTCATCTTCTTCTTTTTTTTCTTATTTTTCTTGTATTTCTTCTTCTTCTTCTTCTTCTTAGTGCCATCATTAATTTTATGATGCTTGTTATTAGTATCATTACTATTATTCGTATTCTTATTATTAATATTCGTATTATTATTGTTGTTCTTAGTATTCTCGTTATTATGATGATGTCAATGACGATGATGATGATGATGCTGATGATGATGATGATGATGATGATGATGATGATGATGATGATGATAATGCTGATGCTGATGATGATGATGATGATGCTGATGCTGATTCTGATGATGTTGCTGCTGCTGATGCTGATGATGATTATTATTACTATTACTTTTATGGCTACTATTATTATTACTATTATCATTTTTGTTTTACATATGTATTCTGAATATTATTACGATTAGTATGATTATTAGGATGATTCTTAGTATTGTTTTTATTATTATGCAGATTTATTTTTATTATCATTATTATTATTATTATGACTATTCTGATTATTATGGTTATGATGATGATGATGATGATGATGCTGCTGATGATGATGATGATGATGATGATGATGATGATGAAGGTGATGATGATGATGATGATGATGATCATCATGATTCTTATTATTATTACCCTTCTTCTTCTTCTTCTTCTTCTTCTTATTACTATTATCATTATTATGGTTGTTGTTACTATTATTATTATTTTTTTTATTATTATATTTCTTCTTCTTCCTCTTCCTCCTCCTCCTTCTCCTCTTCGTTGTCGTCGTCGTGGTCATCGCGTCGTCATCATCGTCGTCGTCGTCGTCGCCGTCGTCGTCGTCGTCGTCGTCGTCGTCGTCGTCGTCTGTTCCCCGACATTTGGCTCCCCAGGAGGAGGAGGAGCAGCAGGAGGGGGAGCTCCTGCTGCGGTCGCGCAGCTCCTCGAGCGCGGGCGCTCCGGGGTGCAGCAACGGTCGCGCGAGGTCCCGGAGCTCGACGCCGCTGCTGCCGCCGGGCTCGCCGTCGCCGCAGCGTGCGGTTCTGCGCGGCCCTGCGGTGCTGAGCGTAGGGGCACAGATGGCGCCGCGGAGGGCAGGACCGAATCATTCACGGGGGGAGCTGTTTATAATGAAGGGTGGGCGGGGATGGGGGAGGAGGATGGGGAGGACGCGCGTGGGGAAGGAGGGGGTGGAGGAGGAGTCCAGGGAGGAGGAGGTTGTGCTAGAGGAGGACGCGGAGGAGGAGGAGGAGGAGGAGGGAGGAGGAGGAGGAGGAGGAGGAGGGAGGAGGATTTCTTCTTCTTCTTCTTTTTCTTCTTCTTCTTCTTCTTCTTAGAGAAACCCAGGCCACTTCCAATGCAGCCGCCAGGGCTCATTAGGCGATCGTTCCATCCTGCTTCCCAGTCCCCCTTCCCTCCTCTCCTCCCCCCCTTCCCCTCCTCTCCTCCCCCCCTCCCCCTCCCCCTCCTCCTCCTGCTCCTCCTCCTTCTCCTCCTCCCCATCTCGATCGTCCGTTTCCTCTTCCATCTCCGCTCCTCGATGCTGATGATTATGCTGATGATGATGCTGATGATGATGAAGACGATGACGATGATGACGATGATGATGAGGATGATGACGATGATAATGATGCTGCTGATGATGATGCTTGTGATTCTGCTGCTGCTGCTGATGATGATGCTGATGGTGGTGGTGATGATGATGCTGCTGAGGCTGCTGAGGCTGCTGATGATGCTGATGATGCTGATTATGATGATGATGATGATGATGATGATGATGATGATGATGATGATGATGATGATGATGATGATGATGATGATGATGATGATGATGATGATGATGATGATGATGATGATGATGATGATGATGATGATGATGATGATGCTGATGCTGATGCTGATGCTTGTGATCCTGCTGCTGATGATGATGATGACGATCGTGATGATGATGCTGATGCGGATGCTGATGTTGCTGCTGATGATGTTGCTGAAGATGGTGATGTTGATGATGATGCTGCCGCTGCTGCTGCTGCTGCTGATGATGATGATGATGATGATGATGATGATGATGATGATGATGATGATGATGATGAGGAGGAGGAGGAGGAGGAGGAGGAGAGGAGGAGGAGGAGGAGGAGGACGAGGACGACGAGGACGAGGACGAGGGCAAGGACGAGGACGAGGAGGAGGGTGGTGACCCAGGAGAGCGCGGTGTGAGCACGAGCTCTCGGAGGTACTCGCGCGGACTTCCGCGGGTTGGCGCTGGGCCCCACCTCTCCCCCGCACGCCTGGGCGGCGCCTCCAGCGACGCCCCGGCGCGCATACCTCCGCGCGCCGGGGAACGCGTGCGGGAGAGGGTCAGGGGCAACGTTACGGGGGCACAGGCTCAGGGGGATGCATCGACCCCCAATCGCCCACTCGTCGCCGATCTGGGCCCGATAGCCCGCTCCGCCAAGGAGCGTGCAGTTTCGCTGCCGTGGGCCCATCGCTGATCTGCTGGCAATGTATCGCCGATTCCAGGTCGATGCTTCCCCCCCTGAGCCGCCTCCCCCCCTAACCGCAAGAATCAATTGAGGACCCCCCTTGCGGTGAAACGATAACGCATCCAGCACCCAGAAGCGTTATTCTGGCACCCTGAGGAGGAGAGAAGGAGGAGGAGGAGAAAGAAGAGGAGGAAGAAGAGGAGGAAGAGGAGGAGGAGGAGAAGGAGGAGGAGGAGGAGGAGGAGGTTTCTCAATTGCTTCTTGCGGTTATTGCTCCCCCTGCAGAGGGGCGGGCTCCAGCGCCGACCCGGGCGATTTCCGCGCACGTCCGAACCTTCTCCGCTCGTGCAATCCTCCTCTCTTGGCCGCCCAGGTGCGCAGGGCGTGCGCCCTGGCTTCGGTGGACGCGTCCAAGGCCAGGGGCCGGCCACCCCCGCTCGGCGGCCTCCGCGCCCACGGGGCGTGGCTGCAGCGCGCCCTCGTGCTCTCCCGCCTCCGCCCGGTGCCTCATCCCGCCTCCCTCCCTCCCTCCCTCCCCCCTGCTCCCCTCTCCCGCCTCCCTCCCCCCCTTCCCCCCCTCCCTCCCTCCCTTCCCTCCCTCCCTCCTCCTGCCCCCCTCGCTTCCTCGCTCCCTCCTCCCTCCTCCCTCCCTCCCTTCCTCCTCCCGCCCTCGCCCCTTCGCCCCTTCCCTTCTCTCCCCGCTCCCTCGTCCCGCCTCCATCGGGCTTGGGCCCGCTCCCGCTCCGCCTGACAGTCTGCCGCAATGCAGCCGCCGGCAGGGGCGCGCGCCACGACCGCCCGCGACCGCCCGATCCCGCGGCATCCCCACGCCTGCGTCCTCGCGGACCGCCTCCCCCTCTCCCTCTCTGTCCCCGACTGCACATGCCACAATGTGGTCTTTCTGTGGGTGTCGCAGGTCGGCCATGACGCGCGTCCGCGGAGAAAGAAACAGAAAGTGCCATGGGAAGAGATGGGAGGGAGGACAAGGATGTCAGATGAGGCGCGAGCGCACCTAGCTTGCCCTTCCCCCCCCTCCCCCCCCTCTCTCGCGCCAGGGGGAGTGGGAGGAAGGAGGAGGGAAGAGGGAAGAGGAGGAGAGGGAAGAGGAGGAGGAGGAGGAGGAGGAGGAGGAGGAGGAGGAGGAGGAGGAGGAGGAGGAGGAGGAGGAGGAGGACCCGCGCGGGACAGGACCCGGGACCCCCCCCCTCCTGGCGGGAAGGGATCACAGGGAAGGGGCTTCACTTCGTGTCTATTGCGACTTCGCTCAATTTCACTTTGGCTGTCGCGCTCGCGGAGGAGGGCCCAGGCAAGGAGGGGGGAGCGGCGACGGGCACAGGGAAAGGAGAGTGCAAGGAAAGAGGACGACAGAGACGTCGACTAACGAATAACGGCCACGACGACTCGAACGGAGAAGCCCCTCACACATGCCGACAGGATCGGCGGATTCCCTCCATTGAACACCGTACCTATGTATGTATGTGCATGCTTATCTATTTACACATTGATGCATTTATGTATGCATCACGCATTTCGTGTATGCATGCATGCATGCATGCATGTACGCCTGTCTGTCTGCCTGTCTGTCTTTCTGTCTGTTTGTCTGTATGTATGTATGCATGCATTTATGTATGCATGTATGCATTTATGCATGCATGCGTGCACACTTACATGCATGTATCTATGCATGTGTATAGGTGTTCATATGTTTGTTCGTTTGTAAACATGTTTGTGTGCATGCATGCATGTAGGTATATATATGCATGTAGACATGTGTGCATATATGTATGCAGTTATGTATGCATGCGCATCGGTAGATATGCATTCATGTATGGCTGCATGCATACACGTATGTATTTATTCATATATGCATGCATGTATGTATACATGTGCGTGTAAGTGCATGCATGCATGCACGTATGTGTACACATGTATGTGTGTACATGTAAATGTATGCATGTATGTATGCATGTATGTCTGTATGCATGCATGCATGCATGTATGCGTGTATATATATGCATGCATGTATGCATACATGTATGTATGTATGCATGCATGCATGTATGTATGCATGTACGTATGTATGTATGTCTGTGTGTGTATGTACGTGTGTGTATGTATGCATGTATGTATGTATGCATGTATGTTTGTATGTATGTGTATGCAGTTGATTCGATATGTATGTACGTATGCATGTATGTATATATGTGTATATATATATAGAAGTATGTAGTGATATGTGTATGCGTACAGTGTATGTATGTCTGTCTGTCTGTATGCATGCATACATGCATGTATGTTTGCATTTGTGTATACGTATATACATAGATATACATCTAGATGTCTGTCTGTCTGTCTGTATGCATGTATGTATGTCTGCATCTATGTGTGTATGTGTGTAGCTGGGCCTGCCACCCCCACTACCTGGCTCGGCCGCCTCCTGGCTGCCACCCCCGCTGCCTTGCGGCCGCCGCTTCCCCGCCGCCCCGGCATCCACCCTGCCGCGGCCTGGCCCCGCTCTGAGCGGGCCCGGTCTCCCCTCCCTCCCGCCCGCGCCGGGCCTCTCCTTTCCCACGTGCATCGCGTTTTTTTCGCATCTGTATGCCCTACACATGCTCATTCCGCCAGCGCAGTCACTCTGCCTAACCGCCGACGCATAATGTATGTTTGTATGTATGTATGTATGTATACATGGGTGTACATATATGTATGCATACATGCATGTATGCATGCATGCATGCATGCATTCATGTACGTACGTGCGTATGTATGTGCAGATATGTCCGTATGTATGTATGTAATGTATGTATGTATGTATGTATATATGTATGTATGTATGTATGTATGTATGTATGTATGTATGTATATATAGATATTCATGCTAACCCCCCCTCTTAGATCCACCCATTCGCTGTGAAGTTTGCAATCCCGCCGATTGCCATCCGATCGCTTGCAATATATTCGATTGCAATGCAATTGACTGCAAACCAATCGATGGCCAACCTCTTGATTGAAACCCAGTTGGCGGCATTTCCATCGCGTGCATGCCAAACGATTGGAATTCAATTCGTTGCAATCCAGTAGAAGGCAGCCAATTCGATTGCAAACTCATCGCTTGTCAATCATTCGATTGCAGCCCGATCGGTTGCAAACCAGTTGACTGCAGAGAAACCGATTGAAGTCGAACGGATTGCAACCCGAACAAGTGCAACCCAAACGATTGCGATCCAATTGGTTGCAACCCAATTGATTGCAACCCGTCCGTTTGCGATCCAATCGTGTGCAAGGCGATCGATTGGAAAACAATCCATTGCTAACCACCCGATCACAATCCAATCGACTGCAATCCCACCGACGGCAATTCAAGCGATCATAGTTCTTCTGGTTGCCACCCGACCGATTGCAATCCGCTCGCTTGCCGCCCAACCGATTTCAACCAAATCGTTTGCAAACCAATCGATTGGCAATACCTCATTGCAACCAAGTTGATTGCAACCCAATCGATTGCAAACCACGCGGTTTGAATCACATTGATTGCAACCCAGCCATTTTCATACCGACGCAAACGATTGTAACCCCCGTTGCTGACAACGAATAATTGCAACCACATCGCTTACAATGGTATCGATTACTAAACGCTCGGTTGCAATGCAAACGACCTTATCCCAATCGACTGCAAGCTAACCAATTGCAACCCAACCGCTTGCCACCCGACTGTTTGCAATCCAACCGATTGCAGACCATTTGGCTACAATGCAAACGCCGGTAACCAAACGGGTTGGAAGCCAATCGATTGCAACCCAACCGCTTGCAATCCAGACAATTTCAAGCCAATCGATCGCAAGCCAATCCGCTGCCAACCACTCCGATTGCAGCCCAACCGATTGCAGCCCAGTTGATTGCAATGCAAACGATTGTAACCCACTTGGTTTCAATCCAATCAGTGGCAAGCCAGCCGCGTGCAACCCACTCAGTCGCAATCCAATCAATTGCATCCCAGCGGCTTGCAACCCAATCGCTGGCAACCCAAATTGTCTGCCAGCCAGCCGACCGCAAACCGAACAGTTGCAGACAGTCCGATTGCAATCATATCGGTTGCTACCCAGTCGACTAGCACCGAGCGGTAGTAATCCAAACTGAGTGCAACCAGTGCAATTGAAATCCCATCGCGCGCACACCACTCGTTTGAAACCCAATGGTTTACAAACCAACAGGCTGCCCACCACTCGATTGCAGCCCAACCGACTGCAGACGTTGCAACCTGGTTGACGGCTACTCAGCCCATTACAGCACAATTGCTCCAAACCCAATCGATTGTAATCTAATTGATTGCACGCCAATCGACTGCAACCCAGCCAATTGCAATCCAATCGACTACACATCATTCGCTTGCAACCCGATCGATTGCAGTTTAAGCAATTGTAATCCAGACGATTGCAACCCAATAGAACGCAAGCCAGGCAATTGCAAGCCAACCGCGCGCAACCCAACCTATTGCAGTCTGGCCACTTGCAAACCGATCGATTGTCAAATGCTCCAATCTAATCGCTTGCAGCCCAAATGATTATTATCCAAACAATTACAACCCAATCACTTGCAACCCAATCGATTGGATTTCAATGGATTACAACGCATTCGATTGCAAGCAGCTCGATTACAGCACGATCAAGTGCCAAACGATTGTATTCAAAATGTTTGTAATCCAACCGATTGTAGCACAATCGCTTGCGCCCCAACCAATTGCAGCCCAATCTGTTGCAGCGCGGTAAAATCAATCCAACCGCTTGCACGCGCAAGCCGAACCGACTGCGCCCATCATGTGCAGACCAACCGATTGCCAACCGCTCGATTGCAATCCCGTCGATTGCAATCCAATCGATTGAAATGCAAACGTTTGTTTTCCAAGCGGTTGCAAACCAATCAATGGCAACCCTACGGCTTGCAGTCCAACTGGCAGCAACCCAATCGATTGCAAACCGGCCGCTTGCAACCCAAGAGGTTGCAAAGCAATCGAGTGCCATCCGCCCGTTTGCACTCTAAGCGGTTGCGAGCCGACCGATAAATTGCAATCCATTTGCTTCCGAATCATTGGTTTGCAGCCCCATATCTTTTATCGATTGCAGCCCAATCGCTTGCAATCTCGTCGCAAGCAGATTAACCGACTGCAAACCAGTCGGTTGCCCACCATTTGGTTGCAGGGGAGTGCAATCCAACCGACTGCGTTGCAAACGACGGTGATCCAATTGGTTGCAACCCAACCGATTGCAACCCCATGGCTTGCAAACCAATTGATTACTCTCCAACGCATTGCAACGCATTTCGAGATCAAACCGCCCGATGGCAATCCATCGACTGGTTTCCAACATGCCTACAGTTCAAACGATTGAGGCTCAATCGAATGCAGCCAAACGAATTGCA